ACTGGATTATTTGTTTTTGGGGAACATTTAAAAAATTTTTTTTAAATTGAGTCTCTTGTAGGCTCATATAGATGGGTCTTGGTTTTTTTTTTAATCTACTCTGTCACCCTATGTCTTTTTTGATTATAGAGCATTTACTCCATTTACACTGAAAGTAATTATTGGTAAAAATTTATTGCCATTTCATAACTTGTTCTCAGGTTGTAGAGAATTTTTCTGATCCTTTGTCTTCATTTCATGGTCTCTGGTTTTCTTCAGTGACTGTGATTTCTATCTCTTTATTCTTCCCATCTTTATTAGTTTTTGTGGTTACCATTAGGTTTGCATGTAACACCTTCTGCATATTGTAGTCTATATTAACTTAATAGCTGCTTAAGTTTGACCCATTCTTGACTCCTGTCCTCACACAGTTCAGGTATATGCTGTCATATTTTGCATCCTTTTATCCTGTTGTTTTGTGAATTCCTCGACTGATTTTTCTCAAAAGTTTTTTTAAATTTCTAATTATTAAAGTTTATTTATTTTGAGAGAGAGCAAGTGTGGGAGGGTCAGAAAGAGAGAGCCTAGCAGACTCCACACCATTGGTGCAGTGGGCTCATGACTTGAGACAAAATCAAGAACTGGATGCTCAACTGACTGAGCCACACAGGCACCCCTATTTTTATTTATTTTGAGAGCAAGAGCACAAGTGGAGGGAAGGGAAGACAGAATCCCAAGCAGGCTCTGTGCTGTCAGTGTGGAGCCTGACATGGGGCTTGATCCCACAAACTGAAATCATGACCTGAGCTGAAATCAAGTCAGATGTTCAACCAATTGAGCCACCCAGGGTCCTGACTTTTTTTTTTTTTTTTAACTGAAAATCATTTTTACTGAATTTATATTTCCTACCTTCATACTGTCACTTTGTGTCTTTTCTATGCAGAGTCCCCTTTAGTATTTCTTGCAAGGGTGGTTTAGTGGTCATGAATGTTAGTTTTTGTCTGTGAAATTCTTTCTCTTACTTTCAATGTTAGCCTTGCTGGATAGAGCATTGTTGGCTGCAGATTTTTACCACTCAGTATTTGGAATATACCATGCCAGTCCCTTCTGGCTTGCAGTTTCTGATGAAAAAATCTGACAGCCCTAAGGGTTTTCCCATATAAGTAAGAGTCTTTTGTCTTGCTGCTTTTAAGATATTTTATCACTATATGTTGAAAATTTAATTACAGTATGTCTTTGTGTTGGCTTGTTTTTTTTGTTTTTTTTTTAAATGGGAGTTCTCTATGCCTCCTGGATCTAGATGTCTGTTTACTTCCTCAGATTAGGGAAGTTTTCAGCTACAACTTGAGAGAAATTTTTTGCCCCCTTTTCTCAAGCTCTCTCTCTGCCCCTTCTGGGACTCCTATAATACAAATGCTATTTTGTTTGGAGTCACTTAATTCCTTAAGTCTATTCTTGTTTGGCAGAATTTTTTCTCTTTTGCTCAGCTTGATTACTTTCCATTAGTCTAAGTCATTACCTTGTTGCTGATTGTTTCAGCCTGCTGTTGACTGCATTAAGCATGTTTGTAATCTCCTTTATTACACTCGTGTTCTTTTTAAATTTTTATCTCTGTCATAAGGGTCTCACTGATCTTTCATGCTTCTCTCAAGCCCAGTATCCTAATGATCATTGCTTTCAATTCTTGAACACGTATATTACTTTTATCTATGTGGCTTAAATCTCTGGCCATAGCCTTAACTTGTTCATTTGGGATAAATTTGCTCATTTTGTGTAAGTCACTGCCTGCTTCTGTGGGTTAGCCAGTTAGGTCTCTGGCTGCTGAAAGTACTGGCGTTACGAAGCGGTCATGTGGTGTCCAGGGACTGGTGTTTCAGGGTGTGTCTCCCATAGGTGCTTTAAGTGTTCTGCTGCTGTTCTGGCTGCTCTGTCCTTCAGGCCTGTCATCTGCAGCAGCTCTCCTTGCCTCCTGTGAGCAGTGTTTGGTCCCTGGCCTGAATGTTCTAGCTGGCCAGTTTCAGTTGTGTATTTTGGTCTGCTTGTGAGATGAAACCTGCTACCACCTCCAGTGAAACTGAGGCCCTGCAAAACTGTAGTTGGGAGACATGCAGGGGCAGGGCTTTGTGCTGGTCTTCTGGATAAGGGGGCCCACCAGCCTAGGACTGAAGCAAGCCTGGGAGGAGCAGTTCTATTGGAGCGTAAGGGGGTAGGGCTGTGAGCAAGTTAGGTAGCCAGCGACTATACTTCACTGGTTCCTGCAGGTGGCTCTTGTGTGTATGCTGAGGGGCATGGGAGGGTAATAGCACCAGCCAGTTCCTTCGTTATTGGAGAGGTGTCTCCGTGAACACTGCCTTTGGGCACACTCTGAGAAGAGCAAATAATCTCCCCACTGGGTTCCACTGGCGCTCTGCTGTTTCCAAGCTCTATGTCCCCAGATTGTTTGCCTACCTTCTCCAAGGGCAGCCCTGATGCCTATGGACTGGTCTCTCCAGGAGCCCAACCTGCTAACACTCAAAAACTTCAGGCTTTAAACCCCAAAGCAGTGCAACAACTCAAGAAATTAATCCCTTCTCACTTTCCAAACCAATGGCTATGAGGAAACATTCTCCTTCTGTGTTCCCCTAGTGCTCCTCTCCACAGCAGCCAGGATCCATTTCTCCCCAAACTAGATCTCTGTGCCTCCTACCTTCGATTTGGTATCTTCCTTACCTTTAGCTGTGGCCTTTCTTTTGCCAGTCTCAAAGTCGATTTCTGGGGGTATTCAAGATGATTTGCTAGTTACCTACTTGTATTGTGGGATGAGGCAAGCCCAGGGTCCTAGTATTCTGCCATCTACCACCACCAGGTGGTGCCACTTAGGATAACACTGTGACCTTACCATCATGTTCCTTGCTTTAAAAAATGTGGGGATTAAGGTCTATGCAGCTGTGAATCATATGGCTTAGAAATAGGGGTGGAGGACATCTGCACAGTAACCTGGATCATCCATGCACCCACCCAATTGCCTCTTGTCAGTAAGCTGCCCTGAATAAAACTGTATAAATAGTAAAGACAGGTTTGCTTTATCGGTCTTAAGTCCTTTTCAGTATGGAGCAAACTGTTTTCTGAAAGATACAGAGATTTATGGTTATTGTAATTCAGAGTGGCCACCCTGGCTTAAGGGTGATGATTGGGATTAAAAAAAAAAAAAAAAATCTACATTTCTTAAAGTCCAAATGCTAGAAGTACCTAAGCAACAGAATTGTTCTAAAAAGGATTTTTTAAATGGGATTGATCATTTAGAGAATCCTGCAACTGAAGTGACCCACCATGGCAGCCCAGCCTGGGATGAGGATATTCTTTATGGACTACCACTGACCTGTTGATGGTTGTGTAGTCTATACTGCCTATAAATGACAACTGTATTAACAACTAATAATTATACAGCAGGTATACAATTAGCAGGTAGTAAATTCTAGCTACACAAACAATGGTAAGTAAAACCTATTTTCCAATGTTTTGTTGGGAGTTTGGTCACAATCTTCTTGCACCTACCACTTTAACCTGTTTATCTTATTACAGATCCTAAGGTATTAAATCCACAGTACTTGTAAGGATTGAGAATAGAGCAGACCACTAGGAACAAAGTAGATACAAAACAGTTTCTCAGAAATCAAGAATAAAAGAGAATGGGCCACTGACGGAAGATGGGTCTCAGATAGTTAAACTCTGAATAAACTGGAATACATGGAACCAAATATGGTAGAAAACTTTCAGGTAAAGATGCACAGCTTGGTAAACCTGGTGAGTGTCCCTTTTAGATGCAAATTTGCCACTTAAAATTAGGTTCCCTTCCCCTCTATGGCCCACACACTTAGGGGACCGAAGACAGTTATTGGAAGGTGATGTTTGTTAACTGTAACACAGACACTAACTTCACTGAAGTATTTTTGTTCCTTGATTTTCTAGAATCACAAGTGATACCTGCCCACTACTGTTTAAAATCACTGGTAGGTACCTAGCTCTTCAGTGCAGAAACTGTTATGCTCATTACATTGATTACACCATGTTTTTATTTTGGTTGGCTGAATGAAACAAAACCAGAAAAACCCAATTTCTTTTGCAGGTCTAGTCCCTCTCTATAGTATTTGTTGCAGACAGCCCTAAAACAGCTGGAATACAGTCAGCAGGGGCCCGGGCTGGACCAGGCGGAGCAACAGTTCATCTTGGCAAGTATGTGTTTATTTCCTTTGGTGCCTTGCACAGTAAGGCACTAATGATGATAGAACAGAAGAAATGCCCACATCAAATAGTTCTAGTGACAATTTACTAGACGAGTTACAGTTTAATGATGGTGGTGGTGATTGTTTCATTTTATTATTTTTTACAATAAGGTTGTAGCCTTTATACTCCACACACACACACACAAAATAAAACAAGTGCTTATGAAAGAGTCCCTGCCCCACCCCCCTTTTCAAAACATCCTGAACATAGCAATTCAATAGAACAGAAAAATCAAGACATGTTGGATTTCAAAATTTCAATAAAAAAGCAAAGTATGTGATGCAACAGGCTGTTCAACTTCCAACTCTAAATAGGCACTGTAAAACAAAACAAAAACTCCGGGTATTGAAATTTCTCCAGCACACTTTCCAGTATAAATGCTCTGTAATCAGCTCATAATAATGGGAACAGAACCTTAGAACAGAAGTCATATTGCTTCCCTGCTCCCCCTTTCTCCTATAATTAGAGGGTGGAGGTATTAGGGGATACAAAAGTCAGAGGAAGAAGAATTAAAAAGAAAAATTCTGAAAGCTGTTGTTTGTGGACTAGAAAGGAAGACAGCATTTTACAAATGTTCAAAAATTCCCAAGGCAAGCAACACAATTCGTTCACTATCACTCCTACTAGAAAGAATAAAGATATCGGCATCTTATTATATAAAACTGTACTTTCAGAATCGCATTACAGGTTCACCAGAAACTATGGATGTAGTTTTAGGCTTCATCAGGGAAAACAAGTTCAGTTCAGATCGAGTTAGATACTGTGCATCTAGCCTATTTGGATTGGAGTCTGGAACTGCTCACTGTAACCCCCAATAGCTGTAAACTAAACAATAGTATGTAACTCCATAGGAAGCTTAAGGATTGAGGATATGTACACAGCTAATTATATCTCCCCTGCTTCGCGCTCTTCAGAGCTCCTCCTGTCTTCTGATCTGCCATTAGCGCTCTCATAGGACCGCTTCTTATCTTTTCGGTCTCTGTCACGAGGTGATCTGTCTCTTGAATTCCTGTCTCTGTCACGTGATGCTAAGTCTTGGTCTCTGAATCTTTCTTTTGAGGATCTGAAAAATATTAATTTGAGGAGCAAAATGTGTTGGGAAACCCAATATCCAAATCAAAGAATCGGATAAATATTAAGGTACTGATTGATAGCTGAAGATATACAGACTACATCCAAGAAAGACAGAGGAGCCAGTTTTCAGGCTGAAAAGAGCACTACCCAAGGTGACAAGGGAGATGGGTGAAAACAAGCAGGTAAGGGTCAAAAACCGTAAGCTAAAATAATGACTTCTAGGATATTCTCATTATTTCAGAGGCAATCATAAAATGTTTCTAATTCATGGCAAATGTATTTAATATGAAAATAGTACATAGACAGTATCTTTAAAAATCAAAGTGTTAAACCGATTTTTTTATAAACAGAATACAGGTTCCAAACTGGATGGAAATTTAAAACTTACAACTGAGGTCAGCAAATCTTATTTTCTTTGCTGTTGGGCCAGAGAGTAAATATTTTAGGTAGATATTCTTCTTCCTTTTCTTTTTATCAACCCTTCAACAATTTAAAAACCACCCATAGCTCACTGGCTATTCAAAAACCGGCTATGGGGCCAGATTTGGCCTGCAGGCAATAGTTTGCCAACACTCAACTTAGATAAGGAAGTACTCAATTAATGTTATGGCTTCAGATAACCATTTATTATTTTTAAAATCTTTACTCCTCCTCAGTGAGCTCATTCAACCAACAGAAAAAAATAAGAATGGAAGACAGAAAGATGATCACACTCCATCTTGATTAACCATAATGGCTTCTTTACACCATCTCTCCATTCCCATACCCAATTTCAATGAGAAAGGTAAGTGATTATCAGAGATTCAATCAGAAGGAAAACCAAAGGATATGATGGGATCAGAATATGAAATCTATACTTTCAATCTCTAGAATGAATTAATAATATATATTACATATATTTGGTTCTTTACAGGTGACATGGTACTTTTACATAATCATCTCTCTTAACCAGGCTTCAGATTCTAAGTGTGAACATGGGTTAGCTAATACTTTGAGCTTCTAATGCAGGAAAAAAAAAAAAAGGTAGGACTGAACCAAAAAAGGTTGAAAGATTAAAATGTCAACTTTGAGCATTCTACTTAACGTTAGAATAAGCTTAATTTTTAAAAGATGTAGGAAAAAAAAAAAAATCACAGTGCATGTCTGGTTACACTGCTCCTCTCCAGAATCTTTCTAAGAATGTAACATGGAGAGAAGATGCCTAAGAATTAGATACAACGGCAGGTAAGTCTCAAAGGTCAGTAATAACTGGAAAATAACCACGAGATGAGCATCAACTAGGATCTTGTGAGAGATTACAATGTCCCTTCCATAAGCATTTTATTTACACTCAACATTTCATTCAAATTACCAATACTAATAACCCAAGTACTTAAAAGATGGGAGATAACAGGATAATTAGATTATTTGGCCACAGCCACCGAACCCAACTAATCTGACTGTGAAGTCTGCACCACGTGTTTGAAAAGACCAGGATGTAGAAAAATGCAAGCCAAGTCCTCATTTATTAAGGTAACTGTTGCCAGGGAAATGTCACTAACAGAATTCAGACCAGTATTTCACAGTTGGGGTGGAGAAACAGTAAATCATTAAGACTTTGAATTAGGACTTTTACCTTGAAATTTAAACTGAAATATATAGCAGTAACTTGACGTTTTATGTACTAACATGTAGATTTGAATAGCAATTGGCTGCTAATTTTTGGTAAAAACACAATGCTGCTTTGAAAGAGAATAAGTTGTCGAGATTAGAAGTGCTCTTGAGAAAAGCAAAAACTTTTAATAGTTTTACAAAAATAAACCTGTTTATGAACATGCTGAAAACACCAGGGGTGGCATGTAGGATAGTGGAAAAATGTCCTATACAACTTCATAAATGCAGGAACCATTTAGGACTAGGATAACACAATCCCAGGGGAGGAGACATGCCCCTCCCTTCCATCCCCACCACCAACAGACATCAGAGTTCACAGATACCAGAAACAATGACAGGTGGGCAGGTTCACAAGACAAACTCTCTAGACCTTCTAACAACCAGTAGGGTGATTCCTTTTTTTTAATGCATTTATTGGGCACTGCACTGTGGGTCTACAGTTTTAAGAGTATGAGATGAATGGCCAGCAAGCAAATCACTTTAGGAACTATGTCCCTTATAAAGTCCCTCCTCATTCTCTGCAAGTGTCTATGATAATCCATCTGGAATATCTTTCTCCTACCTGGTTTTACCTACTATCTGAACCCATTTTTTTACTTCTCTGGTATTTCCCTCATCTAAACTCCTGTATTATTTTGATGTATACTTTAGCACTTTATATGCTAAGTATGAGATCAGTCTGTTTATTGTCAAAGATGTTAGTCTTGTGTTCTAACTTGAAAAAATTGCTCAACTGTTACACTTCTTTTTTTAGTAGGCCTAGTATAGAAGCAAGTATACGACTCTTACTGATTAAAAGTTAACTGAAGAACTACTTACTTAATGTCCTAATAAGAGAACTTAAATCTTTTCACTGGAGGAAAAAAAA